CTAACAACAGCTGGGAACATATATTTTTTAATAGGCTATTTCTGACCAAACCTCCAAGGTCCGCTCCATTTCAAGATTGTGCGGGATCAGAGCCCCAGTGTCAGACAGTCTTCTGCAGCATCCCCTTACCCCATTAACATCTGACCCCACCAACCGTCAGTCTCTCCTACTGCACCCTCATCCACACCATTCTCATTGCTGGCAAGCTTTTTAATGGCTTAGCTGATATCTCCCATTTCAGCATACTGGTGAACGGATTACCAGGGCCAATGTGCCTTTCCTGAGACATTTTAAATTGAGGCTTGAAGTAGTCTTCACCATTATTTGTGTTTCATCATTATTGAGTTTGAATCAACTCATAGCTGACCCTCTAGCATGTTTTCTTAGGTAGTTTAATTACATGAGAAGAGATTGCCCATCTTTTCTTTTTTCTCCCAAGGAGTAGCTGGTGGGTTCAAATCATGTGGATTTATAGTGCAACTCTTTACCACTCAGCCACCAGAACTCTCTGCTGCTTTAAAATCAATATTTTACACTTAACATCTACTGTGCACTCTTTTCTTTATCACCATATGTATTATTTCTATATCTTGATAAATATGTATTGACACATACATATACAATGTAAATAGTTCATATTCTCACTTTTCTGGCTTAACTATTTCATTACATGAATTTAGTAAACAGATTCTGCTGTAACTAAGCAAAGTATTTTTGTTTTATTTTTACTCTTCAGATGTATGTTTACTATCACACAACTTTGCTTTCTTGTGGTAAAAGGAAAAAAAAATTTAAGAAAGAAAAAAAACATTACATTACTGTGGAGTTCATGTTGCTAGGAGGAATTATTCCTTGGAGAAGGACCTGATGCTGACAATGGTAAAGTGTCAGGGAAAGAGAAGAAGAAGACCTTCAACTTGGTGGATTGAAACAGTGACTGCTCCAATGGACTCTTTTGTGTTAGGAAGTGTGAGGATGGCGTTGGATAGAACAGGGTTCAGATCTTATGTTCATAGGGCATCTATGAGTCTACTTGACTCAATGGCACCTAACAATAACAACAATTGCCATTATTTGACTTTGCTATGCAACTGAGTTTACAACAATAGAGAACTGCCTGAAGTGCAGACTGGGTTTAGAAAAGGGCATGAATAAGAGCTTCATAGTAAAGTGAACTGGGGTGGGGAGAATTGTATAACAATGAAAGAATTTTTTTTTCTTTTCAAAGAGAAAAATGAACTGGGGAAGGAGTAGGCAGGAAGGAAAATGTGCAACAATGAATGAAAATCCAAGTTCTCTATACTCTTTCATTAAAATCTCAATTTTTTTTTAAAAAAGAAGAGGCCGTGGCACTAGGGATATTATATATAGCTAATGTCAGATGGATCTTAGCTAAAAACAGAGAGTACCAGAGGAATGTCTATCTGTATTTTATTGACTATGCAAAGACATTTGACTGTATGGATCACAACAAACTGTGGCTGACTCTGAGAAAAATGAAAATCCCAGAACACTTGATTGTGCTCATGTGAAACCAATACTTGGACCAGTAGGCAGTCATCAGAACAGAGCAAGGAAACACTGCGTGGTTCAAAATTGGGAAGGTATAAGTCAGGGATGTGTCCTATCTCCATATCTTTTTAATCTATATGCAGAACAGATTATCCAGATGCTGGGCTCTATGAGGAGAAATGTGGCATCAGGATTGGAGGTAGACTCATCAACAATCAGTGTTTTGCATGCAGATGACACAACATCACTTGCTGAAACTAAAGAGGATCTAAAGCACTTGCTGCAGAAGGTCAAGGACTGCAGCCTTCAATATGGATTGAAGCTTAACATCAAGAAAACAAAGATTCTCACAACTGGGTCAATTGACAGCATCATGACAGATGATGAAGAGATTGAGATTGTTGACAGCTTCAGTTTGCTTAGCTCTACAATCAACACTATTAGTAGCAGCAGCCAGAAAATAAAAAAGATGAATTACAGTGGGAAAGTCTGTTGTCAGAGACCTCTCCAAAGTACCAAAGAGCAACAATGTCAATCTGGAGACTAAGGTGTGCTTGATCCAGGTTTTTGCAATTACTCGCGATGCATTGGAAAGCTGGTCAATGACTTGGGATGATAGAAGGAGAATTGATGCCTTTGAACTGTGGTGCTTGAGAAGAATATTGAATATACCATGGACTGCTAGGAGAATAAACAAGTTCATCTTAGAGAGGGTTAAACCAGATTGCTCCTTGGAGGAAAGGATTCTGAAGCTTTGTCTGACATACTTTGGACATGTTGCAAGGAGGGACCAGTCCTTGGAGAGGGACATCATGCTTGGGAAGATTGAGGGACAGCACAAGAAAGGAAGACCGTCGATGAGATAGATTGATTCAATGACTGGGGTAATGGGGGTAGGTGTGTCTGAGACAGTGAGATTGGCACAGGATAGAGCAAAGTTTAAGGCTGTTGTACATAGGGTCACTATGAGTCACAAGTGACCTGAGGGCACATAACAACAACAACATGCCGATGGGTGGGAATGTGCGGATGGCGTGTGTTAGCCTATCCACAAGGGGGCTGGCTGTCTACCATTCCGTAAGGGGAATGGCCAGTCTCAACAATCTACAAGGGGATTGGCTAGTCTTGTCATCAAACTGAGCAAGCCAGCAGCCAGAGAAAGAGACCTTCCTCCACCAGTAAAGGAAAAAGAGACCTTTCCTTGCCACAGGAAAAGAGCAGCCATAGCCAAACTGGAGACTTGGTGTGAGATGACACTACTTTGGGATTGCTGCACAATTGGAACTAGAGCTAAGTCTTTACTCAAAGCTTGTTGGACAACTAGGGGTGGGAGGTCATGAGTCACAGAACTGAGAACTTTGTAACACTGGCTAAGACTGAGAGGGACAGAGGCAATATTGGCAAGACTTAGAACATGATAACATTGGCCTAAAGCCATGAGGCTCAAGGCTGAGGTGCCTGCGAGTACATTTTAGGAGCTGTCTTGACTGTATTCTGCTACAAACCTGGATTATAATCTTTTGATTTCCCTAATGTGGTTCTGTGTGATCTGTGAGCTATCACACTGGATTTTGAACCCAGCAATGGAGTCAGATTGGTGTTGAGATGAGTAGAAAGAGGTATGGGAGCATGGGGAAATATGTCTGGCCTCATGGGAATTGGTTTTGTGTTATTGATACTGTTGATGGTAACAGTTCCTCTTTGTGAAGTTTATAAAGGTCAGACATGGCCATCCCCACATGGCCCTACTGTTTTTACAGTTATGTTTCCCAGTTTAATGATTTTCAAGTGTGTGAGAGAAATGGAAATAATTGGTTCTTGAAAACTAAGTATTCAAATTTTGTAAATAAACTGTTGTTGTTGTTGTTGTGTGCCGTCGAGTCGCTTGCGACTCATAGCGACCCTATGTACAACAGGCCTAAACTCCACTCTGTCCTGTGCCAATCACACTGTCTCTGACACTCCCATCCCAATTGTCCCAGTCACTGAATCAATCCACCTTCCTCTCCTGTGCTGTCCCTCCACCCTCCCAAGCATGATGTCCCTCTCTAAGGACCGGTCTCTCCTCACACCATGTCCAAAGTATGTTAGATGGAGCCTCACAATCCTTGCCTCCAAGAAGCCACCCGGTTTAACCCTTTCCAGGACAAATCTGTTTGTTTTCCTAGCAGTCCATGGTATTCTCAATACTATTCTCCAGCACCACAGCTCAAAGGCATCAATTCTCCTTCTATCCTCCTTGGTCATTGTCCAACTCTCTGATGCATAACAAGTGATTGCGAAGACCATGGCCTATGACAGACGCACCTTAGTCTCCAGAGAGACACCATTGCTCTTTAGTACTTTGGAGAGGTCCCTAACAGTAGACTTTCCCATGGCAATGTGCCTTTTAATTTCCTGGCTGCTGGTGCCAAGACTGTTGACTATGGAACCAAGCAAACTAAAGCTGTGTACACTCTCAATCTCTTCACCATCCAACCTGATGCTGCCAATTGGTCCAGTGGTGAGAATCTTTGTCTTCCTGACATTGAGGCTCAATCCATATTGTAGGCTGCAGTCCTTGATCCTCTGCAGCAGGCGCTTCAGGTCCTCTTCAGAACCATGTAGTGTTCCCTTGCTCTGTTCTGACGACTGCCTCCTGGTCCAAGTATAAGTTTCGCATTAGAACGATCAAGTGTTCTGAGAAATAAACTAGTAGACAATTAAAAAAAATAGTTTTCAGGTATGCAGTTCAGGAGCATTAATTACACTATTCACAGTACTTAAGGATTTAACATGGTGTCATGGTCATCTTTGTTCAGTCACAGCACAGAACTGCATTAACAGTGCTTTGATGATGGCCAAAATACTGACAACCAGCACTAAAGGTAGTAGTGTCCATCATGTGGTGAACCATCAGAGGAATATTGGCAGATGGGTCTCCTAGAGCTATAACACCAATAAGTAGTTCCCACCAAGTTAATCAACTAATGGCCATCCCAGGTGCTTCAGAGTAGCACTGTGCTCCATTCGGTTTCCAGTGGCAATGACCATTCAAAGGGCCCTCCAGTGGTCTAATGGGATTCAAATCTACTAGCTGTTCTACCTGAGAAAGGTGGGTAATCTCCTCTCATGAGATTTACAGCCTCTGAAAACAACCTGGAGTATTAGCTATGAATCAGTTCCAACTCGACAGTAAACAACAATGACTGTTCAAAAGTAGATTGCCAAGCCTTTTTTTCTGAGGTACCACTAGCAGCTTTTATAAACTTACAATTTTTTTCTTAGCAGCCCAGTGTATTAACTACATATACAACTCAGTGGTTCTGACAGGAGACAGGCCTGGCATCCACCTCATTCTGAATTATTGCATAACTGACCAGAGAAGCCCCAACCAGGCTTCCTGACAGAAGTTAGGAGGATACTTCTCAAACACCAAGTCAGCAGGCCTCTATCCCTTGGGGCTTCTCTGTAAATTTCCCCAGCTTGTGCAATACTGCACCACTCACTTCTCTCTCCGGTAGTAGAGCATCCCTCGTTGAAAGTAAGCCACCGCCAAGTGCTTGTCTCGGTTAATGCTTTGGGTAAAGGCCTGTGGAGAGAAGAGCCCAGTGAGGAGCTGTGAGAATACCCAGAGCATATGTCAAATGTGGGCAGATTACCCAACAAACAAGGTAAGCTTTGTAACCTGTAGTGAATAATTTCACCACCCCAGGCTCACCTTGCTTATTGCGTACTCTATCCCTTCAAGGACTGTAAATAATAAAAGTGGATTTGATTCTGTAAGAAGGTGCTGTGGATTTGCGAGAAAGGCAGGTGCTGGCCATAGTAGAATCTTTCTTTGATGTGTTGAAAATGACATGAGACTATTTATTTCAGATTAGTAAATAAGCACAAATAAATCCATGCTTACCTAGTTTACAGGGAATGCCAGTGGCCTTGTGGATAAAGAGTTGCACTGCCAACCTGAAGATAGGTGGTTTGAACCCACCAGCTGCTCAAGAGAGAAAGATGGGCAATCTTCTCCTTTGTGATTTACAGCCTTTGAAGATCCACTAGACGGTCAGGCTATGAGTCAGTTTTGACTCAAAGGCCATGAGTTGAGTTGAGTTGAGTTGAGTTGAGTTGAGTTGAGTTGAGTTGAGATACTTTTCCTGTTTGGTAATCTAATTAGGGGCAACTGAGAGTGACTGGTGTCTTTAAGGTGACAGAAGGCTTAGGGGTCAGACAACTGGTCAGGATCTCTGCTTCAACACTTCCTAGTTGCCTGGCATGCTGCACATTACTCGATCTCAAACTTTTCTCCTCTGTAAAATGAGATACTAATGTTTGCTCCTCAAGATTACCAACAAGATTAAAAGAGAAAGCGCTAATCGCAAGGACTCAAGTAGCTCTAGTTGTGTATTGCTGAAAGCATTTCACCGCTGGCCAATAGGTCAGCAGTTTGAATCCAGACGAGGCCGTCTCCTCTTATAAAGATTTACAGCCTCATGGGGCAGTTCTACTCTGCCCTTCAGGGTCACTGGAGGTCGGAATCACCTCGATGACAAAGGGTTTGGCATGGTTTCTGGTAAGGGCTCAAGCAGGGAGACAGAGATGGTCAGAGAGAATGAGAAGGCCTGAAAGTCTGATGTGTGAGTGAGAGGGCGTGAGAGTGGGTGAGCTGAGAGATGAGTGATGACCTGTGAGCCCCCCACCCCAGGACTCCAAACTTGGGGCCCCCACTGGCAGCTAGCACAGCTGCTCCCAGAACAGTGCTGCCCTTCACCAGTCCTTCCCCTCTGACAATGTGCCCTTTGTCTTCATCACCTCAGAAGCTGTGTGCTGTTTGCTCAGGCCCTCAGCAGGCCCCTAAGGGAGGGAAGGAGGGAGAGAGGCCACCGTCCTCCTCCAGCCAGAGGTGGGAGGGGGTTTGTCCTGTTGCAGCTGCCTGTCCGCCTACCCTGAGGCCTGTGATCTACTTGTCAGCCTGGGAGGGCATTTCAGACGCCTGCTGGTCAACAATGAGGATGGCCGAGGGAGGAACCTGCTCTTTAAAGAGGCTTTGTCTCCCTCTGCCTCACAAAGAATGGCAGTGATAGGTAAAAATAAAACTTAACACTTGTGCCCTTGGTGTGAAGTTACCCAAATGGTGTTACAGTGTGATAGCACACTTGGCTGTTATCTGAAAGTTTGCAGGTTCAAGCATACCCAGAACTTCAGAAGAAAGGCCTGGTGATTTACTTCCCAAAACTCAGCCATTGAAAACTCTGTGGAACATGATTCTATTCTGACACACCATGTGTCAGGCTTAGCTCTATGGCAACCAACTGACTTCACTGATCTTCACATGTAACTCACACTGACTCAAACCAAAGGTCAGGCTGAGGCAGAGCTGGGATTTGATCCTACATCTCTTGCTTCTAAACTCAACTCATACACTTTCCAATTTACTGTGATCAATCCACACAGTTATTACTAAAAAATACTCAACCTCACATGAAATTATTTGAAGAGTAAGATTTTTTCTTTTTCTACTAGTTTATTTTCAAGAACAAATTCTTTCCATTTCCCTCACCCCCCCACCCATCAAATTGTACAACCCCATGATTAATCCCCCCTCCCCCTACACATCCTCATCCCTCTGCTTCTACCTTCTCCCATCCCTCTTGGATCTTATACTCATTCTACAATAATGGCTTTATACAATATTTATCCTTGTGGGACTGAGTTAGTTCACTTAGCGTAATGCTCTCCAGTCCCTCCCAAGTTAGGTAATAATTTACAAAATCATTGTTCCTGCATACTGCATTGTATTCCATTGTGTGAATGTACAATAATTTCTCAATCCATTCATTTGTGGTTGGACATTTGGGCTGTTTCCATATTCTTGTGATGGTGAATAATACTGCTATGAACATTGGTGTACAAATCTCAGTTTGTGCCTCAGTCCTCATTACGAATATTTTTTTTTTTAAAAAAAGAAAGAATACAACCTGCAGTATATATTGCATCTGAGCATAAAGGAAACACTAATTTTCAAAACTGGATCAATAAGTATCATCATGATAAATGGAGAAAATATTGTGTGATGAAGAACTGAATTTTATGGGAGAAGCCGTCAAGAAATCAATCCCTGGAGTACATTGGGCGGATCTGCTGCCAGGGACCTCATGAAGGTGTTAGAAAAGCAAAAATGAACAACAGGCAACAAACACTGGCGAGGTTGTAGAGAAACTGGAACCCTTATTCACTGTTGGTGGGAGTGTAAAATGGTGCAACCACGGTGGAAGGCGGTATGGTACTTTCTCAAAAAGTTGCAAATAGAGATACCATTTGACTTAGCAATTCCACTACTGGGAATATAACACAAAGAGACCATAACTGCCACCCAAGCAGATATATGCACACCCATGTTTATTGTGGCTTTGTTCATAATAGCAAGGAGTTGGAAACAACCTAAGTGCCCATCAACAAACGAATGGATAAAGAAGCTGTGGTATATTCACACAATGGAATACTATGCTGCATTGAAAAACAAGGAACTCATGCAATATTATTCAAAATGGGTGACCCTGGAGGACATTATGCTGAGTGAAATATCTCAGATGCAAAAGGACAAATACTGCATGGTGCCACTGTTGTAAAACAGGACTGACCTCGGGGTGGGGGAAGAGACTGAGAAAGATGAGTTCAGTAATGTATACTGCATTGAAACAGATGAGGGAGAAAACTGAGTGAAGGCTGCATAGTGGAGTGGACCTGGGAGAGGGATTGTAAAACAATGAAAGAATTTTTCTTTTACTTTGAAAAAAAAGAAGCAAAAATGGCTTTTCAGGACTAACGTGTGACTGACTCAAGCTATGATATTTTTAATTGCTTCATATGCATGCAAAAGGGGGACTATGAATAAGGAAAACTATAAGAGAATGAATGCTTTTGAACTGTGGTTCAAAAGAATATCAACTATACCATGGATTGCCTCAAGGACAAACAAATCTGCCTTGGAAGACGTCCAGTTAGATCGCTCCTTAAAATCAAGGAACGTGAAACTTGTCTCAGGTATTTTGTCCAAGCTGACAGGAGGGCCTGCCCCTGGAGAAAGACATCCAACTTGGTAAAGAGAACTCTAACTCACTGTTGCCCAAGATGATTCCAACTCACAGCTGACTCTCAACTCAAATTCCAAAGCTGTAAATGTCACAGAAGAGACCAACCTTCCATCTTTCTCTTCAAGGCAGCTTGTAGATGGAAACTGTCAGAGAAAAGCAGCCTTGAAGTTAGCAGCACAACTCTCTGTGGTCTACACCAGCAGAGCTCCCTTGGTGAAGAAGAAGGACAGTGTAGAAGGGGAATCTTAGTGACATGGACCGACACCATGGCTGCAGTAGACACAAGGGGTTCAGCCTAGCAGCAATCATGAGGCTGGTGCAGGGAGGGCCTTGCTTCATACTATTGTTTATAGGTTTCATTTAGAGCCCCACTGAGGATTCCTATGACAACCCACACAATGTCTTTAACAGGTGTTATTAATCAATTTCAGCTTCTGCTGTATCAGTCTCAGAATCCTTAAGAGTGCTCCACATCATTGTCAGAATTGTCACTTGGGATAAAGGTCTTTCCCCCCACCCCCAAATGTCTCCTCTCCACCTACTGGCCAGGCAAGGCTGACATGCATGGAATTCTTAGAAAGCTATGAAGCACCTTATAAGTAAACAGCAAGATGGAGACTTCAGACCAGTAGGAGCTCACAGAAGGAAATGTGGAAAGGGAAGGTTTAAAAAGAAGAGTTAGAATTTAGGTATTTTGTGTAGAGGAATCCAGTCTACCCATTGCCCATAGCTGACCCTCTAGAGAGGTTTCAAGTGGTAAGAGCTTGCACGGCAATCCTGAAGTTGACCAGTTCAAATCTACCCTACTCCATGTGAGAAGGATGGGCAATCTCCTCCAGTGTGATTAACTGCCTCTGAAAACCTGCCAGAGAATCTGTTATGGGTCGGTTCTGACTCTGTGGTACACAATAACAACAACACCCTTTGGGTTGGCAACACAACACCTTACCCATTTGGCCACCAGGAGAGCATAGAGAGGCCGGAGGGTGTCAGCACCACTGGCCTTTTAGAACTACCTGTTGGTCTTTTAGGAGCTCCTGATGCTTAGGCCCCTCTGGAGGTGGGGCCTGAGCATCTTCTGGTCTCCTGAAGCTCCCTAGAGGTTTCTACAGCGCAGTCAGAGTTGATAGCATGAATCTAGAGCTCCTGTCCCATGGGAGGCAGGGTCCTGCACTCACCTTCTCTGCCTCAGGCATATTTTCAAGAATCGTGTGCATGCAGCCAATATTGAAGCAAATCCTGGAGTGGGGGTCCTGGACGGCAGCGAAGGCGCCCAGCGCGCCCTTCCAGTCCTTCTTGTCTGCCGCCAGCACACCTTCATTCCAGAGACTGATGGCCTCAACCAGGGACATGGTCAGGTGGAAGCTGGGAGTCTGCCAGGAGCAGTGAAGGCCAGGGACGGGAGCTGGTGTTCTTCGCAACTGTGGGCCCAGCTGCCCCAGGTGCTGCCTTTCGGGGCCGGGTGCTCAGACTGCTGTCCAGTCTTCTGTAAGGCCACCTCTGAGTGTTGCAAGTGCATCAGGAAATGTCCCCACCTTTTGGTAACTGACGCATAACCCTACTGAGAGGGAGGGGAGAGAGAGACTGAGCAGGGGCGGAGTGCGGAGAAAGAGAGGAAGTACATCAGATATTGCCTTGAGGGGTCAGTTCCCCAAAACTTCTGCAGTGTCACGCTGCCCCTCCTCCTCTGTTCCTCGCCTTCTGCGACAGCTTCTGGCTGGGGCTCTGCCCTCTAGAACAAGGCGGTCTCACTGCTGCCCCTCCCTGGACTTCACCTACACCTCTCCTGAATGAGCAGGTTGGATGAAAGAATAGATTTTCCAGCCTTAAATACATTTGTGATTTTGGGTTTGTTTGTTTTTCCAGGTGGCTTTCTCACCCTCTCTTAACCTCCTGAGCTATCTTGGTATTGTTTGCGTCTTGAGTTAAAATTAATTATTCGTATGAATGAACGCCTTTCTGAGACAGGATGGTCTTGGATTAGCTATCTGTTCCTCAGGTAAATTTTACAAACACTTAGAAAATTCAGTGAGCACTTTTTTCTCACTCTCAGTGTGGTAGAGTGGGAACTGACTCATAAATGACCCCTCAGGAGGTTCTCAGAGGCTGTAAATCACCTATCAGGAGAGTGCCCTTTTTTTTTTGTGCCTCAGAGGAGCTGGTGGTTCAAACCCTCTGCCTGCGGGTTGTCAGAGTAATACCTTAAGCACTAGGCCACCAGGGGTCCTTTAGTGGACATCACTTTTCTGCAAATGCCCAAACTGGAAGTGGGGTATGATGGTGAATTATTATTTACTTTCATCCTTCTATGAAAAACTGAAGAGATGAGAGCCTACACTGATGACTAATGAGGTTACTACCCACCTCACCCACCCACTACCATCTTGTCAGATCCAACTCATACTTATCTGATAGCATAGGATAGCACAGATCTGCCTCATACGGTTTCTAACTGCAATCTTTATGGAAGCAGACTGCCACATCTTTCTCTGATGGAGTATTAGTGGATTCAACTTGACAACCTTTGAGTTAGCAGCCCAGCACTTACTGCTCTGTGCCACCAAGACACCTTAATAGTCTCCTAAAAAACCCAAATTTAAAAGCCCTCATTTGGTGCTCCTAAAAAATAAAAATCAATAAAGTCTCCCTGAAGGATAATTTGGAGTAGGGAATGTAACCAATTTGACTTATGCAAATTCTGATATTAGTAAAATACATATTCATTCAAATATTCAGATGCCAACACTTCAGCTCTTGTTTTATAGTAACTAAATGATTTCACCAATTATCACCAAGCTTCCCCTCAATGTATGAGACTAAAACTTCAAGATGTACAATCTATGGGACTTGTAGGGTAGTGTGAAAATTGAGAAAACATGTAAAATCCTACACAGACTATCCTTGCTGTTTAAAAGACCTTTCCATTTCACTTCTTTGCCTAACAAACACCTACTCACTCTTCAAGACTCAGTTAAAATACTACCTCCTCTGTCAAAACTAACCCCCCACTCTCAAGTCTTAGAAACAATATCTTCTTCCTCTGGACCATCTCCTTGCTACACTTATCACCTCATTAATCTTTATTGTGATTTATGCCTTTACTTGCTTTTAGCACACCTGTTTAACCTCTTGAGAGCTGGAACCAAGCCTTTTCACTCTTGGATAACCTATGTCAATTTCACTAGATGAGAAAGTGTGGTGTCATAGTCTTACTGTTCAAAATGGCTTTCCCAGCTATTGGCTAACCACATAACTAAGCGGAAACTTGAAGTAGGATGCATTTAAACTAACCATATGTGTTAAAGAACTGCACTGTCAACCCAAAGGTCCACCGTAAGAATCTACCGGCTGCACTGAGGGAGAAAGATGGGCTGTCTCCTCCCCTGTGATTTACTCCTCCTTAAAACCCACTGGAAGGTCAGCTATTGACTTGGTTCTGACTCTGTGGTACTCAACAACAACAAACTAGTCATTATGGGATTGGTCAGTTTTTCTTATCTCACTAAAAGAAATTGATTTAAGAGAGTGGATTTAACAGCAAAAATGGGAATCTCATTACCAGTAAGGAAGAGGAAGTAGAGAGTGCCTCAAGTACCCTTTGGGGTCAAAGATTCCCGCTCCAGTCAGACCAGGACCTACTTCAAAGCCACATCAGCCTCAAAACTAGAGATCAACATGAAACAAAATTGACGCAGAATTCCTTCCCCACAGAAGCAAAGCCAGAAGCAAAGCACCAAGCTTGCCAGAGGCTGGAGAGAAATATCATAACTGGCAAGACTAAAGAAATGACTTCAGAACTGTCTGAACTGAGTGAGGAATTATATCTTGTTGCCAGTCTGAACTGTATCTTGTTAATTTTCTGAGTAAAACTCATAACTGTGTTTATCGGTCTGTGAGATCTCTGTGGTCATTGCAACAATTTCTGACTCAGTACAGCAGACTTACTATTAAACAATATCATTAATATCACATGCAAGCAAAATATTGCTGAAGATCATTCAAAACCAGCTAGAACAGTCCATAGATCAGGAACAGGCAGAAATTCAAGCAGGATTTAGATGATGATATTATTGCTGATGTCAGATGGATTGTGACTGAAAGTAAAGAATACAGAAGAGTGTCTATTTGTGCTTTATTGACTATGCAAAGACATTTTATGTGACTCTTTACACGTTTTGACTGACATTGAGAAGAATGGAAATCCCGGAGCACTTTATTGTCAGATGGTAAATTTTATTGGGAGCAGACTGTCTCAGCTTTCTCCCGAAGACTGATAGGTGGATTCAAATCAATGAACTTTCAGTTGGCAGACCGGCATGTAATCCATATGCCACTAGCACCAGCTGGAAAGGAACTCCTGGGACTGGCCATCCTCTTCTCCCAAAGCCAGGGAAAGATCGTTGACACTCAGTTTTGCCCACTGTTCCTCCATTCTTACTGTCATTATGCAGACCAAGCTATTATAAATGTATGACTTGATGTTATAATCTCCTATAATCTCTGCCCTCCACAGAGCAGCCGGACTGATCTTTTAAAGCCACGGGGGAGATCACATCAAGCCCCTGTTTTAAATTATTTTGTGCTCCTAAGACAAAAACCAAACCTTTCCCGTGGTGCAAGGAAGGACTCTGTTTGCACTATTCATACTCTACTTCTCCTGCCCCCACCATCTCCTCCCACCACTTCAGCCACACTGGCCTCTGTTCAAGTTCTCCAATGGGCAAAGCCCATTGTTCCCTCTGCCTGGAAAGCTGTTCCTCTACGTCTTTGCCTGGCTGGTTCGTACTGTCTTTCACTTCCTCAGAGTGGCTTTTCTTGATCCTGTGACTTCACTCAACCAAATCCCCAACCCACTGATGTTGAGGTGAACCTGATTCATGGTGATCCTCCACTGGGTTCCTGAGACTGTAAATCTTCATAGAAGGAGACTGTCCATCTTTCTCCCATAAAGAGTCTGGGGGATTTGACGCTCTTACTTTCTGGTTAGGAACGTGGTCATCTGTTACACACTACACCACTGGGTTCCTTGTGACCTCATCATGATTTCCTCATCTCTCTCTGACTGGTTCTCTTCAGTCTCAGTATTAGTCACAATTTGTAAATCTGTGCTTAGTTGTTTCCATTGAGGACACTCTAGCCATTAAGTGTCACTGTGGCTAGGTGGCCTTACCAGCCATCATTCAGCCCCATCCTCCCTTCTTTTGGGAGAACCCAAATATACAAATCTCCAGTTCATGAGCTTCAGGGGAGAAAAGGACTCAACACTGCTCCAAAGTGTGGGTTCTATGGCTTAGGCATGAACAGAATGTGTAAATCTAGTCAACAAGATGTTAGTGAAAGTCTGAGAAGGATTTATGGGAAAGAGTTTTCCAGATAATATTATGAAGGTGTGAAGGGGTAACCATAATGTTCCAGGAGGACAACTAGTCAAGAATGAGTTTCTTTTTTTAAAAAAAAATTTTTTTTAATTGGGAAAAACATATTGGGGGTACAAGGAGGTGAGGGTTGGAGGCAGAAGGGTGAGGATGGACCAGGATGCAGTTGCAGAGCTGCACAGTTTGGTCGGTGGGGGGAGCAGGTAAAGGAAATGATGAGGGCCCAGTGGGGACCAGATGTTACAGAGGAATGACAAGCATTTTCCAATAGTAATTAAACCAACTGTCTTATTGATTTGGGAATTGGATGCCGACTCTCTGGCTTCTTCATGCTGAACAGGGGCATAGATGTAAAGGGGGGAAGGGAGGACGCTTTATCACCTTACTGGTGGTATTGGGTTAAAGCTGCTTGCCTTCTTGCTCTGTTAGAAGATATTTTCCTGTCATTTGCTCCCCTCTGGACTGCAAAGTGTTTTCCCAGGTGGGTCCGGTGGGGATGGCTGGTTGAACCCAGAGGCTCCATCCTCCTTTGCTTCCTTAGCTGTCAGTTGTATTTCCTTTTTGTCACTGGCACTGGGTTCAGGGTCAATTCTGGAGTAAAACTCAGAGTTAAGATTACCTATAGGTAAGGGAGCAAACCTAGAGAGAACAAACTTGTGAGTTACAAATAGAAGGGCTTTGAGGGTGTTGCTTTCAGGTTTACTGGGGGGGGGAGGGTGGCAGAAGGTGGCCTAGGTAACATTCTCTGGATACCCTAGGCATTCTTTTTTTTTCTTCTCCTTCCCTACCCAGGGGGCCCGTTGGCACAATCTAGGGACTGAGGAGCTCACCCTGAGGGCCGTGACGGCTCGCCCCGAGCCAGGGGCCGAGGGCAGCCCATCCCGAGCAGGGCAACACCCCCCAGGAGCTGGGTGGTATACTCCCCCTCCAGTTTCCCCTACCCCGGTCTAGTCCCCTCGCCTGACTGAGGACTCTGT